ACTGTGACATTCTTGATGAAACTTGTAGATAAACTCTGCACTGCAGTTTGTAACATAAGCCTTAGAACTATCTACATGTCTCAACGAGGATTGTTGTCTCGTAGGAGTTCAATGCAGTCGGATGTTGAGCAATCGACAAGATATACACTTAGTATCATATCTTTGCACAGTGAATCTCATGATGACCAGTTATGCATTTCTTCTACATTTTACTCTGCAAAGTATTCATTTTAAAATCTGCAATACAAAAAAGAACTATTAGTTATAATCTTTTGGCATATCTCGTGCACACATACCATATTCACTTCTTCAAAGTTCATCCTTCTGATTGACGCACCTATCAGAAGTGTATTGTTAATTAACAAGCTGATAATTTGGCAACTATGTGTTCTGTACTCAAGCCAATTCACAGAAATGCATCCTATACGTTTATTGACTTCTTTGAATGACACAAGAACCAAGGAAAAAACAAAGACATTAATGCATGTGGTGTAAGTTGCTTGTGTTGTGACGTTGAAGTGATGAAACGCGTCTTTATACACATGTAGAATGTAGCAGTTCGGCAGCGAATAGGATGTGTGTAATAGCTTTTTGTGGAGTACTGTGAAAGCTGTTGCTTTTAATCCTGCATACACAATGACGTAGCTATGTGAAGTGTTGAGTATGAGGACAGAAAAGAACTATTGATGAAAGAATGATTTTGGGGTTCAGTCGGATGCGTATACATACAGATAGAAGGATTTGTGTGTCCAGATACCAACACCTATTTCACAACATCGCCATCACCGACCAATCTGTTAGCATCGTCGTCACATTAGCACATCCTGAATGCAATTCGACCAGCACACACGAATGGACAACTTCAAGTCGGTGAGTCTCCCATGACAGACGATTGAATCTAATCCACTCCAACACCAGGTCAATCACAACACGATTACCTCAGTGCTATTATCTCTCGCACCACCCCTTGGTGACGCTGCATCCAATCTCACACTGCACATCAGTTGCATCGACGCAGCAAGTAAACCTTACTCGTCAGTGACAGAACACGCGAATGATAGCCGGCTTCAGAGCCTCCTATGCATTGCTTCCATCCAACTAAAATCAAAATCTGTACGACGCCATAGTATCTTATTCTATCTCACCCCGTCTCCCTCTCGCTCATCATCTCACCCAGCTACATACTCATACTGCAAACGACAGGGAACATGCCATCACCTCACACCACTCGGAAGCTCATAGTTCGTTACACTCCACTAGACAACCAGTGCACGTAATCCAGTCATACAAAAAGTCAGTCACACACCTAATATCCCCGTGCTACCACCTCTCACACAAACACTGGGTCAAGCTGATTCCAATCTCACTCGCAAAATCACTCACGTCAACGCCAAACATAGGCCCTGCTAACCAGCACAAAACGCATACATCATCTAAGATTACTTCATACCTATCGCCTCATTTCAGCTGACATCCATCTCATATTTCCATTTTCCCTCGTAAATTCATGTTCCGCAGAGTGTTTACCGCTGTTTATGATTTCATTCGTTCATGCTCGAAATGTCCATCACGACCGGTTGTAATTTCCAAGGGATCGAGTGTACCACGGACAACTTGCTGAAATGTTTCGCCTGTCAAATCTAAAAGTAAGTCGGTCCTGCTAGCGAACAATATTCCATGTAACCTTCGTTCACTGTCTAACTTTTTTGATACGTCGTAAAGTTTTAACAGTAGGTTTTGCTAGAAGACTGCATTGTCTGTGCAAACAAATTGGTTTTAAAATGTATTTTGGTTTTTAGCTATATATATATATATATAGGTCAACAGATACAGACCATCGATTGATGCTACGTCTTTTTCTAATCACCACTAACACTCTTCGAACCTAATCCAACTTTTTGTAGCATGTCATATCGAGGTAAGCGGTGTACACAGTACGTGACCAAGCCATCTTACTCATCGATTGGCTTGACTGTCTTGCTTACTATCCATCGTCTGACCTCAACATTGCTCACACAGTAATTCCACCAAACGCAAACAATGCTATAAAGACACCTACAATCAAAACCTGCAACTGCTCCATGTCTCACAGCTGTACAGCAGGACAAAACGAACTGCAGTGCAGTAAATCCATCCTTTCGTAGATAGCCGGATACATCGTCAACACTACAGGTGATGTAAGTTGGGAAGTGCCAACCGGATCTCCCGTATCCGAGCTGAGATTTGTCATTCAGAAAAACCGTTCGGGCTGATACAACCTCTCAAGTAAGTGAAGTGGTGAAGATATTACGCCATCTCGCTGCCTATCATTGAACTAGGAGTCATTGTAGACCAGTCCTGGAGCATGATCTCAAATTTCTCAGAAGCCAGTGAGACGCCTACCGAACATACACAGATTTCTGCACATTGCGTTTACGAGACCCTGCATTTTGAGTGTTTTCACTTAGCGGGACAATATCGTCTACATACTCCTAGTAAACCAGATAACCTCCAGAGAGTACGGCCAAGCCCTGTGAAGTCAGACATACCAAACAGTACATCTATGATGAAGTTACATAGCAACGGTGGCAGTGAACATCCCTAATGGATACCATTGGTTGTCGTCGATTCACATGACAACTCCCCATAAGCCCTTACACTGATGCAAGAATTCAAGTGGAGAGCTTCGGTAAGCGCTATATACTTCACCGGTACTCTCGTCACAATGAGACACTGCCCTAACACCTTACGATCGACAAAGTCAGATACCACCTTTAGGTCAACAAATATGGCAAATATCGACCGCCAGTAGGTATATCTATTTTGCAGAACCTGTCAAAGAGTAAAAATATGATCGATGCATCCACGTCCAGGTCTGAAACCTGCCTGGTTCTATCGGACTTCATTTAGTCGTCGGACAACTATTCACCCTAGGATCTAGGACACGATAGTAATCAAGCTAATCCCAAATGGTTATCACAAGAAGACTTTCTCCCCTTGTTATAGACTGGGATGATCAGTGAATTACACCAATCTGACAGTACTGCCTCTAATTCCATACACTAACCTCGAACCTCCATCTTCTTCTTGCAGGTATCCTTAATAAGCATAAATAATTCCCATGTGTTACCCAACGCTGACGCCTTCTTCAACTCTCAAGCTACCCACCACTACTGGCGAACAACACGAAGACTCTTGGTCAATTTATCTTTGTTATCTATGTTCATCGTGGTCGAAGCCAGTTGAAATGAGTCTTCTCGCACCAACCAGTTCGGATGACGTCGCAGAAATGTAATGACGTTCGTTAACCTTTGGGTGTAGGTTAACAATTTCCTTGACCACTGTTTCTATAGTGATATTAATATCACGCCAGGTTTCCTCAGCATGAGCACTGCTGTCATGTTTAGATAAATGCTTAGCTATCTCATCTCGAAATTCGAACTTGGCATCTCATCTACCCATCGAGCACGGATGGACCTAGCTGCCTCCTCCAGTTAATAACGTACAGACATACACGAACCCCTACTAACGCGTGATCAGAATCCAAACTGGTATTCTAGGAAAAGAAGAAATCCTCCACCGATCGTCTCCAACGCTAGCTTATAGCATTATGATCTATCTGTGTCCATCATTGGTTTGATGTCGGCGGACGCCATGCGAGACAGTATATCTCCTTATGCTGAAAGTCAGTGCTGACCAGAAACAAGCGATTGTGAGAACAAAATTGCAACAATCAACCACCGTTGTCCCTTCGTTGCCATGGGATTCTGTAACTACTCTCATGATGCCTTTCCGATTGGCTCAGCTTGCCTAATTGACCGTTACAGTCACTTTCCTTTATAACCACATCTGAACGTTTCGCTTTCTGTAGCAAAGTTGACAGCTTCTCACAGAATTCATACTTCACATTACCCGAACTGCAGTCGGTGGGTGCACACGCGAATAGGCATCGGTTGGTCTCACGATCCTTCTTAGTCCTTACAGATCCATTCAGTCGAATAGCAAATAGATGGCTGTCGACTGGTATCCAGTTGGGAAGCGCACTTTCTGCTCTACAACTCAATGCTTTGCCTACACCAGCGGGTCCACGAGAGGTACCCATAGGGTCTCCGGATACTCGTGAGGTGAATTTTGAAGATTCACCACTTAGCCAGGTGAAGTTAATTTAATAACCAGACTCCGGTCATGTATATGCTTCTCAGAGACATATCATACACCCATGACTAGAAGTTTCCGAGTCTTGGCGAGCGATGTTTGCTGTTCGATTTGACATAGAGTTCGGTCGTTGTAACCTCCTACATGAAATCGATAATATTAGGAAACGAGGAATGAGGTGTCAATGGCCTTTGATTGTTGGCAATGGTTGCAGAATGTGAAAGGTGTAAGAAGTCTAATATTAGTATCAGAAAGTGAAGTCAAAGGAGAAGGCAGAGTTGGGGAGGATAGGTTGTGTTCGACTGGGTCTTGTGTATTACTGGAAGCAGGCGAGCGGTTGACACTTCCCGGCTGCCCGCACCGTGGAAGGCTATTTCTTCTTAAAGTACCTGAGAGAGAAAAAGATTTGTATGACCGTAGAGCAGTAACTGCTTTTCGTCTTACCAGTATCCAACAAACGTTTTTGGCACGGTAGGACCCTGAAGGAACAAGAGTTTTAGCTAGTATCGCACCTTGGATCACTGCGATATGTATGCAGAACGACCACGCCAAGGTAGCAGCTATTAGTCGGGCATAATGCCATAAATGTTTTTTATCCTATCAGTAATCTAAAATATGTATTCTCATCATGGTTTATCGCATAATGATCATTTGTGGCACGACCAATAAGTGATTGAATGCGATAGAAAAACAAATTAGAAAATTATCAGAAAATAAGTCAATTTAACTGGTGTATTGAAATTGAAAAATGTTGTACATGTGTTGATGCTAATCCATTTCTTGTTCTACTAGAGCAAGAACATTAACCTAATCTGGGAAGGATTCATCTGACGAAGTGACCTGATTACATAAATAACTCTGGTTATTCACACATCAACTAGACATTTCACTGGAACTACTAACTGGGGTTTCAGATGTGCGACTGTGACTGTTATTGCTTTTTCATTCGAATCTGACGCGCCCATATCATCAACATCGTCGTCACTGCAAGTCGTTGTATTCACAGGATCTGGATGCACGTCGAAATTAACAGATGGATTTGTAGACTCTATACCAAAAGAATTCGTATCACTTTGATGAGATAACCATGCTGCTGAAACTTGTGAATGAAATTGACTTATGACTTGATCATCAGAAACGAAATCACGGAATTCCAAATCAATGAGAAGGTTGGGTAATTCATAATGATGAAAGAAATAGATCATTGAGTGCAATATAAACAACCATGAAACCCAAAGGGCTACACCACTGAACTGACCACTGAAACGATAGTGGTAGGCATAAAATCCGAAATGATATAGATAAAAAAACCTTCGAAAATAAAATAAAGAAAGAAGTACCAAGAGGATAACTACAGCTAATTAAATTCAGGAAGAAGAACATAATGACAAAACAGGAGACTTACAACATTCAGTAGTAGCATCATGAGACTCAATTCACTACACATAAAATAGTTCAGTTAGACGATGAATCGTAAAAAAATATTTTAAAACCAGTTGCACAGATGTGCTACTGCAGGGGTGACACCGTCTACCTATAAGAAAATGATTCAGCACATAGCTGAACACAATGAAACTTTTATACACTGATATTGTGTTGAGATTAGAAACTAATAATTCTTTTGTAAGGATTACTAGGAATTTCTAACAGTTTAGCTATAAGCTTAATCATAGTGTCGACTTACAGAAGTGATAGATGTGCAAAACCCATATACTCTTCTTCAAAAATGTCAGTAAATCATAAGTCATTAAAATAAACCTATTTCACTATTAATACTCGCAAGAGGTGGCTTCTCATGCCCCAGCCGCCAAGTGGATAATGCTTTGGCGTTTCGAGCGATGAGTACTGGATTCGAGTCTCAATGGGAACAACTCACACTGGGGTGCAGGTACATCCAGCTGACAAGTCCCAGATACGACTAAACGCGTGCCCTAGATTTCACTGCTAGTCACCAAGATGAATAAAATTCGTAAATCAGTCTAAGAAAGGAGCAAGCCACAACAAGTCATACAGTGGCCATGATTTGGAAGACAATCAATTTCCAATGAAACGATTCCGTAGCGGTACATATATAACAAAATCAGGTCACTAGCTACAAGAAGACAGGGAAATTCCTATGGTGATTAAGGAACTAACCAGTAAACAGTCAATGTGTTCAAGAAGTGCACATAAAGGGTATAAAAGCCTTTTAAAATAATTTGGTATGAAGAAACCTAGTATTCCCTCTGAATCAGAGAAAGTGAAGACATTTTAAGGAATTATTCCTTCAATCTCCTTAGCTATTTAACTTCAACAATGGCCCAAAATGAACATATAATATAGTTAAAGGCACATATTATTTTCCAATGGTTATTATGCTATTACTACGTAGGAAAAATAAACACGATGAGACATGCGAGAATAGTAATGTTCACAGAAATCGATATGCTTGAGCCTTTATAAGTTCGTGAATTCATAGAAAGTAGAAACATTACTAGAAATAAGACACTTTTTGCACATCAAAATGATGAATTCGGGCGAAAAGCTATAAAGTAATGAATACACCCCCACTGCATTCAGACTCCTGAACTAGGCTATGAACCTAACCTATTTTGCGACAGCTAGTGAAACGCGCTTTACCTCGGAACCTCAGCTGACTGATTGAGGTTTAATTAAGTTAATCAATGGTTCATATTCAACTGTATAAGCTCAGGACATTCAGTTTAACGGAACTATAGTTACGAACGGTAGACCAGTAGATGAAGCTGTCAATCAGAGTTGATTGAATTAGTTGTAAAATATTTGACAATGACTGGCCACTGGATAGCAACCAATTTCATATTTTCTATTCCTGATTGTCGACCTAATTCTACCGGTCATTTTGATATATGGTGACCAAGCTAAGAGGCTCATCATTGTAGTGCACTTTGATAGATGTTAGCTGATTGCAGCCGATAAGCAGGAAGCCCGCTATTCAAGCGTCGTCGCAATAAACTCGAATAAGTGTGGTAATATCTGTTATCGCAACGCTGGGTGATGCGGCTTTGGAACTCAGAAGGGCAATCAGTTCCCACGAGGTTGTAGATACGCCTTGCCGACGAGTGCGGATAAGCACGAAACTTAGGTTCAGGGGTTCCTAGCAAATGCCTCCAGTCACGTAGCAAAGAAGTTTACGAAACACATCAACATCTAAACTTCCTGGAGTAAAAGTCAAGGGGAAGAACATGGAGTCCAAAATAGGTGATTGGATACACTGGTCGACAGTGAAGATAACAATGATAAAAAAAAACATTTTCCCTTCATTTTCTTTTTACTCTATATCGGTTGTTTTTTGTCTCGTTCTGTTTCTTTACTGCATTTCAATGTTGTTCCACTTGGATGGATATACTCTCTGTTAATACCAACGTAATATACAGTAACCTAAACTGATGCGAGTTTACTCAACGTTTCACATTTAAATGTACAACTTTCTGTTCTACTTTAAGGAAAAACGGAGATTCACGTGCTTACCGAAATCGCTCCACACAACATAATTGATTAATATAACACAACCAACTAATGAATGAGGGGATAGTACTTTTTACATATAGTGTCTTAGCTGCATTTATTTACATTGAATCGTTGTATAGTGGCGAAAACTAACAGTTAAGGAGACCATCGATCGCCAAAAAGCTTTAAGTGGTACAAAGTGGTATGTAAATTAAACAAAAATATAAAAACAATTGAATTCTGAACACAATATCAATAAATTCTGAATTGAAGTATTTGATAAAATGCTTTGTTTCAAAAGCCTCATACCAATGAAAGAACACCGAGAACTTGGTATCAATTGGTTTGAAGTATATATAGCTACTTTACACAACGAAAAGTTTTTATGAAGACAGCTGTTCAAACTAACCTTGGCCAATATTGTTTGCTCAGTTCAGTGCGGCAAAACACAGCCTCGTAGTGATCACAAATGCTTACAATAAGAATGATATAAAATGCTGTGATAGAGTCGCCGAAAAACTCAGACATAATGGTTTCCATAGCTGAAACGTAAATATTCATTAGAACATGACAAGTTAATATCTAAGAAAAACAAATAAACATCAAAAGACAGAAACTACTATTTACCTTAATTGACCAATATCGAGGCATCCACATAGGAGTCCATATGGCAATAGAGGTCGAACAATTCCATCCATAAAACAACGGAGAATCACAAGTATGTCAATAAATAGTAATATTTGCCTTACTGTTCAGAGAAAAAAATCTCGAAATAATTGCTGTGCTACAGAAACAACCAACAAGATTCCAGTGGTCAAAATCACCTCAAGGTATGTAAGCAGAAACAAGTTTAACACTGATGGAGAATATTTGTAGCTCAGGAATATGATTTTGATAGCATCTTGTTCTCTGAGATGGATGGTTTACTCGTGAAGCTTTCATTGTCATTCTGGACAATATCATCAGCACAAACTTCAGAAAGAAGTAGGCTTTAGGGTTTCTCCACAATTTACTTAGGAGTTTGTCCTCATGGGCTTGTGTGTGACTAGTTGTTCCTGTCAAAGTTTTGTCATTTTCTCCATATTTATTTCGATTGGTTGTTCTGCTGACGTGAATTTTGACCTTATTGTTGTTGGATTTGAGGAAATCAGAAACAGTAGTTTACAGGAAACCAATTCATATGCATCAAATTCTCAACTATAGTGGCAACAACCCGACAGTTGTACAAAAAGATTATTCAAAAGAGCGAAGATACACTATAGTACATCAACTTTGGGGAGAAAAGAAGAAAACCATTTATTGTTTTCCAGAAGAATAGCAATATTCGTCGTCAGCCGAGAAGCCAGCCTAAAAAAACCAACAATGGACTGTCTTACCCCATATAAAGAACGTCTCTGAGATCATGACTAAATTGTTGAAGACTTTAGGAATTGCTTTAGCTCACAAGCCCACAAAATCTCTTCGCTCTCTGTTATGCAGGCCAAAACATGCAACAGTAAAGGGAGACAAAACAAAATTTATCTACAAAATAAATTTCAGAAACTGAGAAAAACACTACATCGGACAGTGGTCAGCCTCTTTGTATCCGTCTACATGAACATCAACTAACAGCGAAGCTTCACGACATACCTTCGCTCATATCAATGCATACGTACAGTTGTGGACATGAATTTCACTGGGAAAATGTGGTGATCCTGGATAGAGAAAGTACGAAGAATCCCAGAGAATTTTTAGAAGCTTAGTAATGAGGTCAGTCAGCGATCAACAGACATATTGACATAAACTTAACCTACCAACTAATAAGAAACAACAAGAAGGTCAAAATTCACGTCAGCAGAACAACCAATCGAAATAAATATGGAGAAAATGACAAAACTTTGTCAGGAACAACCAATCACACACAAGCCCATGAGGACAAACTCCTAAGTAAATTGTGGAGAAAACCCTAAAGCCTACTTCTTTCTGAAGTTTATGCTGATGATATTGTCCAGAATGACAATGAAAGCTTCATGAGTAAACCATCCAGCTCGGAGAACACAACACCAAAATCAAGTTTAACACTAAGTCGTCAGAGATAGAACTGTAATTCACATTGAGCTTGCAAATAACCGAAAACTAAAATGTCATCATCCCACAACATACCATTAGATAACCCTGAATAATTGATTAAGTAATCAAAAAAGTACTAAATCCCATGGTTTTAATAATACAAATAATACAGCAACAACATCAGAATGATAAGACGTCAAAAATAGTAAGAAATGGACTACGCATTAGACCATCTTTTCTTATTGAATGAAAAATCCTCATATGTTCAATTTCTGATAGTAACCATGCTGTGACTTCGTTTACTTGGTGTCATATATCGCAGATCTAAGCTCTCACTATAGGATGTCAAATCACAAGTGGAGAGAGTTTTAGATGCTATTAGAAATGAATAAAGAGTATAACCGGTGGTGATCACTTTTTTGGAATTTTCTGGCATATACTCCTTCTATCCAAAGGAAAGAAGTTATGGTTTATTGGCTTACGCAGCCGATTTTAAATCAAAGAAACACGCATTCATACAGCACTCCACTTACAGAGGTTTAAACAGTTAGGGATTTACTGATAGCTATTATACAACAGAAACATTTTATACAATGATAAACAAGTTCAAAAGTAATTGTTTAATTTGGATGATGAATCTGTAAACTACACACAACATCCAGTTTACATTGATATTTCTCAATGCTCAGAAATTTTCCTCAACTACACTACTGTGGTGTCAACGCGTTTTTCGTTTGGAACTATCCAATCAACGTTACAAAGTGTGAAAGATGAGAAGAAAGTCTCACGAACCAATGAAACATACGACTGACCGACATGACTAGTTAAAAGCTAAACACTCTAATTTGTAGATTTTGTCAACCAGACTACAATATTTGCTCACCATATATTTCTTTCTCTGTTAACGGTTTTTCATAAATTCTCCCATTCCTTATCTCACATGCAAACTGTATCCTCGAAGCGCCAACATACTGTTTCATGCTGCAGTTTTTGGTCCCCATTTAAAACAAACAGATTGTTGAGTTCATTTATCTTTCGAAAAGTAGTTGGATGTATTACCCATGGCACAGATTGTGCAAGTTATCATAAGCCAAGTGAGCTATACGTACATGTACTGAAATTTCGCTAAAAGTCGATCTGTTGAATTTAATTCAGTACATTATAATTTTCTTGTTGGTAGATGGTAGTGAAATCCTGGACAAAAGTTTCAGTAGTTTCAAAATAAATGAACAAAGCAACCCACCCATTCACTATCCATCCATAAAGCACCTTTCGGTGCAAATCAGTCCTACAGACCCACCTTACACTCGTTACGCACGAAATGCAAGTAAAACACATTTATGCAGTTATGCAAAGTACCTGGTTGGCTCTGCACTAGTCAATGTTTTCTATCTGCAGGAATATATCTAAAACTATTAGATCGACTAGATACCTCAGAAAGTAAATCGACCCCTGAGAAGTCAAGGATACACAAAATCTATAATGCAGTCACACAAAACAGTGGATATCTGTAGAGCGCACAGTCGAATATCGTCACCACCCCATCTGTAGTTCAGTTTCGAATTTCCTAACTGCTACTCGGACCAACATTTCAGAAAACAGTTCTCAGTTCAACATCTCTTGTACCATACTTTCACTAACCATCACTTTTCAACTGCCAATCAATTTAACTAACTGAAGTAGTTACCCACTAGGTCTTAGTGCTAACACCTTCTCCATACAAGTTTGAAGTTACCACTAATCAGAAGCAAGTGGGTTTCAGAATAAAAGTGCAGAGGATAGTCACCATTATCTGCGCGTCAGTATAGTGTATTCAGAAGTCATAAGAGTGAATTTCGGTTTGGATCAAGCGTCCCATAATATCTAAACAGCATGCTTCATGTAGTAGTACTAAAAACTCACGGTAAAACTCATTTCTCATAATGTCCAGACTGAAGTGAAGAATAGTAAGTAAGCACAATATAGTATCAACATCTAGTAGGATCGCTGTGAATCAATCAAGAATTCATCCGAGGAATTTCAGTTATACACAAAAAAGTAAGATTGTTGGAACTAGTAACTGAATCCTCTGACAGGCATAGGATAGATTTTAAGCATTCTCCACAATGCAAAGATTAATTTAATTTAGCAAATACACTGGGACCTTGCTTTGATCCTTCAGAAACACAGTGTACAGCTATAACTTAGGATGACGAAGTTATGCTCAGTTAAGCGGATTTGATACATATTTATAATAAAAAATAACCTGTCGTTAGTTGGGAGCGTTAGAGATCGTAGAAAAACCATGTAAACTTCAGACGCTATAGTGTTATGAGTTGAAGAGGTTGAATAAAACAGAAGACAACTGCTGACGACCAAGATGCATTTGTACGACGTTGGAAAGCTATGAAACCGTTTACCCTTTTCGACACTTGCTTGTGTTTTTACAGTAATTTGGAAAGAATTCAGATTGGTTTTGTGTGACCGCAAAACCCAGGGGATTACTATTTGGGGTTGGCAATACGCCGATAATTTGTGCGAGATGAATGTCTCACAGCTGTTTGCCTTTTGTTTAGGAACCTATCGCCAGCGACGGAGTCACAAGGTAAGAAAATATAAGACGAAATCAACGTAGGACCTCGCACACAAAAACATCGGTTCATTTTGCCACATTCCACAGTGGAATACAAAGAACAAGTAGATAGAAAAAGACAACAAAGTAGACAAAGTTGTATGAGAAAACTAACAATTTGAAGATAAAGGTTGGCACAAATATTTAAGCTTTGAAAGACATGAAAGAGCGAATACATTTGCGTCACTGTGACCGATTTTCAGCCATGTCACTAAGAGTTAATGATAATAACATATTTCATACAACATAGGTTACATAAAAACAAACCAGTCTACACGTATGATCAGTTCCCAACTACTGTTTTCTATCGTCTCTGGGACCCGTGGTCAGGTAGTCTACATCTCCCCACACGGTTCAGGTCAACAGTAAAAGACTACATCGACATATTTCACATCTTGATCTCGCCACTCTGAACCCTCTCCCAACCTAATTCAACTTCGTCTAGCATGACACGTCGAGGTAGGCGGTGGTTCCGCATGAGCAGTACGTGTCCAAGTCATCTCAGTCGACTAGGGTTCACAACCTCATCAATCCACTTGCTTGTCTTACCTAGCACCCTTCGCCTAACCTCAGCATAGCTCACATGGCAATTCTACCAAACTTGAGGAATGCTACGAAGCACCTGTGATCAAGACCATGTGACCGCTTCATGTCGTCTACTTTTAATGGCCATGTTTCACAGCCGCATAACAGGACGGGACGGACTGCAGCGAGGCCAGAAGGCAAGGTGTAGTTCAGTTTTGAAAGCCGGATTTTTCTTCTGATGTCCGAATGCAGTACTGATAGAATAATGGTTACTCAAGCGAAAAATAACATTATCTTCATATTTACTTTTCTCATCATTATATTCGGAATTATTTACATTAGGATAGCTCATTTAGTTTCACCCATTTCCTTCATATCACGGAAAACTCATTCCAGATAGCACACTTTGGTGAGGTTACCACTGAAACCAAGCCAAATCATCATATCAAGGTACTTGTTACCAGTCACCATGTGTAAGTTCAGTATGTAAGTTGAAATCATGTTTGTGTTCTGCAACAGAACTATGCTGCTAATGACAAAAAAACGGAAATCCATACAGCTGTAGATTTACAAAACAGCAGAAATATTCAAAACTGAAAGCATACTAAATAACTTACCGATAAGAGCAAGAATAACTGTCATAAAAGGTGCGACTGGGATTCCAAATGGGACATTATTCTCAAACATTTGGAGGATATCAGCTGTCGAAAAGTACACAGGAAATATTAGAGAATATCACAAAGACTCGAAGAGATAAATATTTGTTGACAGTTATCTGCCATCCAAACGCCCTAGGAAGTGATGAATCTGGTCGGAACTATTGTTATACAGCATTGTCAAAGAACCTCTGCAGGAAAGTCCCACTCACTGGCTTTAAGGCGGCGAAATGTTTCCACAAACGTAAGAGGGTAAAAACATGTCTGTCGCTCATCATCAGATTGTTGGATACGTAGGTTCACCTAGGATAGTCGGAAAACACTGGTGAAAATGAACTCCACGATCTAGAACTGACTAGTGGTACAAGAACCTAATTTGGTCACCGGTGATCGTGGGAATGGAACACCTTGCGCTGCTTTGCCACTAGCAGAACACATTTTAGGCCAAATGCTCGAAAAGTTCTTTCCCAGGATAGCCGCCTGCTTCAGTACGACCATCCGAATAATATCACAGTTTTCATTTTTTTTGAGAATGTAACAATATTGACTGTAAACAAATCAAAGTGCTTACCAAATCTTATCGAGCGCTATGGACTCACTGTTTTACAAAGTTTACACGGAATCATTCGATTTATCATCAATTCATTTCTGTTAATATTTTTCAGATGACCTGTTTTTACTACTTTCAAATTTGTCTTTATGTGTATTCTTCCTTCACACAGTTAACCATTATTGATTCAAGTTCTAGTAAGTTTGTACCATCTTGAGTCACTGAACAGCTACTTTAGTGTGATACATGAACCCACACGCACAGCTAAAGCTGGCGACCAGCAGATGCGCTCGATATATATATATATATATATATATATATATATATATATATATATATATATATATATATATATATATATATATATGAATGCATAAGTCGAGTGGCTAAGATCAGATCAGAATAGTTTAGGTGAACAATAAGTAACAAAGGATAGCAGATAGGATGATTTCGATTGTCTTTTGTAGCACATAATAACCTGTTCCTGGCTAGCACCAACTTCTGACATGGCCAAAACCGTTGTGCTGCCTAGTGTCCCTATCCACCACTCAAAACTGAACTCAAATAGATTACACCGCAATATACTACCAAACGAATACCAGTCGCTTTAGATGCCCCTATCTGAACTCTAAGCATACATAAGTTTGTGCTAAGTTCCTGTAGCGTTTCGGTATTAATCAAAATCGTCGTTGCAATCAGTCGATGTAAGCGAATCAGTTGCATACAGTATCGTAACTAAGTACCCAACTGATTAAGATTCAAAACTAGCTATAGAACCTCCAGAAACTGGGTGAGCATTGACTGCACCTACTAGACGTCATAAACAAATTGATCGAAGATTTCTGCAGCTTGAAAGAACATCCACGAATAAACACTGGGTTTCTACAAACTCCTTACGTCTTCTTGACGCATATTGACAGGAATAAAGTGAAATTATATGCTTAAGTCCCTTACGCATAAGACAAAGCAGGATTTAAGTAACAATAGAGCAACTTGGCGGTCAGAACATGTGAGTGAGGCGGTGGTAGCAGCTGTATCTGGTAATGGGCCAAACAAGCCACCAACAACTGGAAACCCGTGAGATGATCTGTTAAGTAATTGGTGCACCAATCCACAACCTTTATAGATGCTTAGCATGCTGGATGGAGTACTTCAAAATACAACTTAGCTGGCCTACTGTTCCAGGAACATTGATAGTAGCATCTTGTGCTCCATGGTCAGTTGACACCGATTTGTTGGATGAAATGGAAGTCCAAAAGAGACCCGAAGTGCTAAAACTACGAAAACACAACAACCTGCGCTTGGCTCTGTCTAAGGATACAGGTTACACTGCAATCAGAGGACTGACTAGATTGTTCGAGGTATGTAACGGACAGCATCCTGACATGAGGTCACTGTTTTATTCATCTTTTAAAAATGTGCAGATGACTTGCGTGGCAATCATCGAAGTATCAGTCTGCAATAAGCAACATCTGGAAGCTTTGGCCTAATTAAGCGCAATTATTATTGAAAGGATCCCATTTATATTTGGAAATAATTCAAAATACGTTCGGTCATCAAAAATAAACTACTTAAACAGACAAAACCTACTGAAATTAAAAGAAATAGTCATGGAAAAACGATCATTGGTTAATCACTTACTGATAACAAAGACTAGCTGCTGACTTGAATATCGCAACAGGATCGATACACAGAAAGTCTGGAATAAATATAGTGGGAAATTACTGATAAATATATAACTTCGTAAAGTGACCACTCTGAACATTATCATATAATCGCTACATGAGCGACAGTCAGTAACTGTCTCACAAATCAACACTAACAACAAGGTTGGTTAGAGAAGTATATACAGTGTGGTTTTGACGATATGTACTCAAGCTATCGTGACAAAGGAAAACAACCTTAAACATACAGAACAACGTTAAACCACAACACATTTGCATATCTCATATGTGTTTAAGCACGGATCGATGTCTTACTATGATTTTACTAGTATTACATTTCCAAAGTAATGTCATTTCAACTGACATAGGAAGCATAGATAAAGCATGGTTTAGTAATAACGACACATTTTCAAAAGAATTTAGACGATGGATTGTGGCTTGATGTGCGAATCCTTAAAACGAAAATATCGGAAAAACAGTAACCTAGGCAAATAGAAGTCGTAACTACCAAAGAGAAACAGTATCAGCATACTTAGGAGAATGAAAACGCATCAGTTTTTAAATTATCATACGTGAGGTCGCATAACCTATGAAGTAACTATATGAAAATGAGTATCACTACGAACAAACAAGAACTTTCGATGCATTTTTCGGTCTCTTCAAGACCATTATGTTGTCTAAGAAAAATAACCACGAAGGGGGTTAAATGAAATAAAAAAGGGGGAAAAACTAAAGACAATTTAATCAATGTGTTTGTATAAACGAGTAAATAAGGTTTTTTTAATGCGAAATTCTAATACGTGAGAATGAATGTTGGTTTCCAGGATTAGACTGAAAGCTGGGAATACTTGTTTTGTTAAAAAGATTCAACAGCGAAAAGAACCATTGACGTATTCCGACTTGAGAGTAGTTATTTTCACAGACTGACGTCAGTTAAAGAAATACTAAAAAACCTGGAAACACTTCAGCAGTAACCGCATACAAACCCAAGAGTAACCGAAATAAGGACTATTAAGTTTCACTGTGAGTGCGTTGCTATTTAGCCAGGTTTGTATGCTATGCTAACTAATGAGATCAGCTAGGGAGATAGAATATAAGATGGCAGACCCTAGCAAGGTAAAAATTTAGAAATGAGCTCAGCTATGCTGTAACACACGTATACGCAATGAGATGGGATAGAATGAAAATTTACAAAGGTAATTTGGATAGGAGGAAGAGATTTACAACTGAAGTTTTGTTCATCGAATCAACACCTAACACGCGTAATAGATATGAGAAAACACCGATTCCGGTAAAGTCTACTACTAATTAAATCAAAGAATGAAAAAACAATAAAACTATAAAAACGATACCGGAAAACTGTACAATGTGACTGATCACCTTGATATGATGAAAACAATAAAACCTCCCCCTCCGTTGATAATACTGTTTCAATATGTGATATGCAATAAAAGAATAATAATGAAGTTATCCCCTACACAACAGTGTCCAAATTCTATGCTTACATTAATAAAACTAATAGTCTTACTGTCAAAAGACTGATCAACAAACATACGACTTTTACGAAAGGAAGCTGGACCCATAAGTCATCGTATATTAATTAGCCAATGTTTTAAAAACCATATAGTACTGTTTCTCTGTGTGCCAAACAATAAAAGAACTATTGTGGAGGTATGAATAAAAAACATGTTGACTCGGTATTAGAAATATGATATATCATATAGAAAAAGTGATATGCTTAGTAAAATGAAATATAGAATACCAATGTAGATCAAACGTAAAGAAAACTGTTTCGGTTAAGCAAAAAGAGCTTATTCATGAGTAAGATTACTGTTTATGTAAATCGTAGTGTGAACCGCTGCATTTCTTCATAAAACTTCGGCCGTCGGTGCGTACTACTGACGAGCTACATACTACGATGAAACAGCTGTTTAATGATCTCAGGCTCTCTAACAGATATCATTTCAGCAGCAGAAGATAGAATAAGTAATCGTGACCTGTGAGATAAAACAAGTCAAATACGAGGATGAATAGTGGCCAATGGTGAGAAAAAATCGAAACACACTCAGCAACCTCGTAGACATTCGTGCAATAGGCAAGGAGCCACACTTATTGTGTGAGGGCTAATAATACTACTTGGCTGTCCAAACTTCAGTAGGTGGAGTGGTGCTCGGAATGATGACCCGCTGGTCGAAAGTCAACTCCCTAAACCAATGAGCCACAACTCCAATGGCTAATGACAATGGAAGACGGTCGTGTAATATCATAAAATAAAAGTAGGAGAATGTGGGACATGGGATTCGGACCCGGTAGTTGATATACGACGTGCTCGCAACGAAATCTTACGACCATAGGTCCCATTCCTGGTGAATTTTTAGATGCGCACTGCTGAGGAGTCTCATACTAGAACGAAACAGAAGTTCAGTACTTTCAGGTTACCTGTCAATGATTCTTCAACTGATTCCGGTTCTAGATAAATACTACCTTGAAATCAATCCCCATAAAGCTTCAAACTGTAACACTTATTTATTAAATTACTCCCTCTACAATTTTGTTCATTATGTTGTATTGTTTGATTGTTCTTGAAAAACGGTGTAAAGTAGTACAACACTAATTTGTATCGTTCAGAAGCATTCTCACAGAGGAGTTACTAAAGTTTAGAAACTTCACAACTTCACTAATCTCCATTGTCTAGCTTCATAAATGTGATTGTATTCAATCGATAACAAAAGAAACCAGATTTCTGATAAAGTATTCAATGCAATTAATTCCCAGTTTAACTTCCAAAACACATCCTATGACTGAAATAATGAAGTCGTAGAGGTATTTATAATGTGATTACCTTTGGCATCTTTTTTCAGACCGACAATGAAAACAATTGCATTCTATTTTAACATTCAATGACTTAAATTCAGCATTCTTAACGTATATTGAGTAGAAAGGAGATACTTCGATACCATGCACCCATCACTTATACCACCATCCTACCAATTGCTCCCCCGATAATAATCATCAGCAATGAGTACACTTCGTTCTTCGAATAGAGTTGTAACCTTATGGATTCAACATCGTACTATAACGATAAGTGCTTTGCAGCAGTCCTTCAAGTTCAGTAAAGACCTCCCAGTTCAAGCCTACGTCAAAAAGTAACCATCCGACATCATGTGACGTGGTGCAAAATCAAAGTCATTCATGTAGATTAACCAACGAACATTATCTCCAAGTTAACCTCGCCCGGTTAACTACTTCACTAGTTACTAGCCAGTCCAAAGACCGGGTAAAGAGGGAAGGTTGGGCATAGGGTTAGCAACCCTACCCCGCAAAACTAATCTAACCGCTAAAGAAACTTCAAAGCACAAACAAAATATCAAAAATAACAACAAAATTATTCCTCGCTGGAATCGGAGAGGCGAAATGACGCCAGTTGGTGAAAGCCTACGGGAAGTCAATTAGCCGATGTGTCTTCTCTCCCTCGATGAAAGCGAAAGTAAACGTGGGGACATGGAATGTCCGCACGATGTTTGAACTCAGCAAGGCAGCCCAGATTGCAAACGAGATGAAGAGGTATCACATCGAAATGCTTGGAATTTGCGAAAGCAGATGGAATGGGAGTGGAATCTCCAAATTGGCAACTGGAGAATCAATAATCTACTCCGGTCACCCAGACGACAACCACGAGCACACTGAGGGAGTCGCTATCAAGATGTCCCCGAAAGCATCGACGGACCTCATACAGTGGGAACCGATCTCCTCATGCAGGATCATCACAGTAAGGTTCAAATCAAAAGAAGGAAGGTCATGCTCCTGTCCACACCAAGCAAAATATTAAGCCGCATCATCCTGGAGAGGCTAAAGGGTGCGCTAGATTCAAAACTACGACCGGAACAGGCTGGCTGGCTGGCTGGTTGGCTTCAGGAAGTACAAATCATGTGCGGACCAATTTGTAACGTTACGCATCATCATAGAACAGAGTATAGAATGGCAGTCAACTCTCTACCTCAACTTCATTGACTTTGAGAAGGCCTTTGACAGCATCGACCGAGAGGTAATTTGGAAACTGCTTCAACACTACGGAATACCACAAACCTTTATCAGCCTCATTCAACAAGTATATGAAGACGCCACATGCCAAGTAATTCACAATGGAAAGCTCAGTGATGCTTTTGAAGTAAAGACAGGAGTGAAACAAGATTGCCTACTATCACTTATGATATTCCTGATTGTGGTCGACTGGATCATGCAGCAAACAGTGAGGAGCTGTGAGAAGAGAGGGATACGCTGGACCGATGAGAAGACCCTAGAAGATTTGGATTTCGCCGGTGACTTATGTCTAATGTCACACAAACTTGAAGATCTACAGACGAAAACTAACAAGTTGACAGAAGAGGCGAGGCAGCGAAGACAGGGCTTCAAGTGAACGTAGTGGAGACAGAGGTGATAATGATACCAAACCGATGCCACCGCCAACAACAACAACAAGCTCCAATCACCATCAATGGGAGAAACCTGAAGGAAGTAACCTCTTTCATCTATCTAGGCAGCACTGTTTCAACTACAGGCTGAGGCACAGACGAGGATGTCAAAGCCAGTCAGGATGGGAAAAGCAAGACAGGTGTTCATTAGCCTGAAACCAGTGTGGAGATCTTCTGCACTGCACTCAGCATAAAGCGTGAACAAAATCCGGATTTTCAACACCAATGCCAAGTCAGTGCTTCTATATAGTTCAGAGACTTGGCGCGTCACGAAAACCATTTCCAACAAACTACAGACATTCATCAACAACTGCCTACGCTGGCTCGTTACTGAAGATCAGATGGATTGCCAGAAATAATAAGCAACAAGGAACTCTGGCTATATGGCAACGAACCAACGAATCAAGAACCTATCACCCAACAAATATGCAGAAGGAAGTGGAGATGGATTGGAGTCAGCATACACTGAGAAGGCCGACTGGGACATCACGCGTCAGGCCCTCGAGTGGAACCTAGATGGGAAACGACGAGTTGGGCGTCCGAGGCGAGGGTGACATGGAGGAGATCGTGCGAAGAGGAAATGAGAGCTTCTGGGCTGTCGTGCAGCCAGGTCCAAAAGATTTCAGAGAACAGAGTTCACTGAAGCCCTATGTTGCATTAGGAACCTAAGGGACTAATAATAATAAAAATAATCATAATAATAATAATAGTAATAATAATTATTATTTATTATTATTATTCTCACCTTAAGCATGATACCGAATTCAGTATTTTCCTGTACGTCCTTCCTCAATTTTAATGTTTCTACCACTCTCCACCGGTTGTTGTTTATTTCTAATGCTTTCTCGCTTGATATGCTCATATGGGGTGTAGCAGCATGGACCGCTATGCAGTAGTGTCTGGTCCTATGATGATACTGATTACGATGAATCCCTTAAGTTTAAGAGCCTACTTTTATCGGAATCCAAATCGGAAAATGTGAACAGTTCATATTACGTTAGCATCTGAATCAACCTACGAACTGTGTGTCTAAATACTTTAGATTTCGCTGATCAACTTCAAGGTATTTTTGGTAATATTCACGGTGAATCGATGAAGCAGGGTCATAACAATGTTTAGAAAAACACATACACAGAGGAAGTAATGCAATAGGAATCGAAATAAGACATTTGACATTTCAACTTTACTAGGTTTTGAACTTTATACGACCAGGTATGAAGCGATTATTCTTAACTGTGACAGTAAAAAGGAATTATTCCAGATTCAGACGTAAGAAGTTATTACGTTTACCATATATTGTAAAACATATATAACCTTATTTCTTGACTAAAATAATGTCAAACGTACACCACTTCTAAATTGAAGATTTAAAAAATTTGATTAAAAACTTACAAACAGTAACATAATCAAGGCGGCAGGAAGGCATGATGACCGAGACATTTGAGAAACAACCAGTCGGTAATGCTGACCACTCATTACATTCACCACATAACCTGTCAATCCTTCAGTGGCGCACAAATATTTGATACTTCCAATCAAATATCGTCATATCCCAGGAACTCTTCCATGAGAAAACGACTGAGAATATTGCCAAAACAAGGATTTGTTTCTGGATCTAAGTATAAGAAGCATTTGACAACAAAAAATACACATCTGAAAATATCAACTGAAGGTCAAATATTAGGAATATGCTTCCATAATGTGAAATCAATGAAGTGTAGAGTACACAATAAAAATAGATGCATTTAAAGTTTCAGATACAATAAGACTGATCACAGCTGAATTCTCACCTAGAAGGAACACGCTTTGACGTTATTTCTCCTTTCACCTTTAATAGGCTAAAGGTTACTCCGATCTTGTATGCCTATCTTTTTCTTTCTTGCTTTGACCACCACATTCTTTGTTTATATATGTCATCCTAACATTGACAAGTTTAAACAGGAAATGACTTCTCAATACTTCCTAATACACATACCACTTTGAAAATGTATTTGCCGTAAACCTCACTTCCCGGTCAACAGCTATTACATTGACGTAGTGGTTGGCCTTCAGTATATCATGATGACCCAACGAGATACCTTGCCAAACTGCATGTTAATTTGAGGTCTTACCATACCTGAAAGGTCACTCAGATCTATTGTATGAGAGTTATTAATACTAACTGGTAACCCGAAATTGAGTGCGTAGATCGGTGTTGGAACCTGCGTTCCATTGGTTGAAAGAGAACTCCCGAAACCAATAAGCTACATCTGACAGTTCGGTAGTAGTACGATAAGAAGCACTTACTACTATGGTGTAAATTAATAAGCAGTGATGAAGGTTCGAGGGCTAACTCGTACTCCTGACTTCACAAGGGTGTGCAATCAGTTACGTGTATCCAAAGATGACCAACACTACCATGCTAATGCTGACTTCCATATAGGAAGACGCGGTTAGAAAACGTCCACTCTAAAAATAACACACACATTTCACCCCACACCATACCGATCCAGACGATATGAGTCCACAGTCACAGTCAAAACTAGAAAACTTCTAAAAACGTTGAGTGTGACCAGCCTTAGGCAGATGTCTCATGGGCTCTGTGATCACACACTAACCCCTCCTTTTCGGGTACCACAAGAAGATATATCCTTCCACGGTGTGAGCAGCAAGCGAGTGTCGACCATCCCCACAACTCTTCCTTCACATCTCTCAGTCAACATTCCCATATCATCTTCAATATTTTTTAGCTTTGCAACCCAAACGAAGGAGACACTAAACTACCTTACATACAAAGTGCATATTTATATTAATAGGCTATCATCTTAGAACTATTCAAAGTTTTCCATTTCAACAATAAAATACAACTAGAAGATCAACATGCAGAGTAACTCGATTACTCACAAAGTAAATGTGTTTTTCAACCACTGCAGACAATGTCTAGGAGGTACATAAAATCTTTTTTGAAAATTCATTCTGGAAAAGCATCACGATTCGGTGTAGATGTTTCCCATTTTAGAATTCCAGATCTGAAAAGTCTACTAACTACAGAAACTCTGTCACTGAAATAATTGACCTGTATTGTCTGTCTAAACAAAATTAACATAAAACCAAACAATAATTTAACATACCAAGCACAACCAATTTCACAGATACATTAAGCCGTTTACGTGCCTGTGGAGAGAGACGAAGAAAGCCATACTCCAAAGCATATTCCATTATGTAGCTGTCATCCGTACGTGTTACTGTTAAATACACAACATGTATACAAAGTGATGACGACTAGAAAAAACTATATGCGTCAGAAGAAAGCAACAAAAAGCGATTGTGCGATAAAAATTAGAGATAATATTAGGGGACTGACAAATAGAATTGCAACTTACAACACCGTCACAACCGAATAAATAAAATTTGGACGAAGCGCACTCAGCAACATTATGGACATCCGTATAGCAGCAATGAGCCACACCTGTTGAGTGAGGGATACTGATACCACCCAAGAGCGGAAACCTCAGAAGGTGGGGCGAGGTTCGAACCAATGACCCACTTGTTCACAGTTATCGCAATAAACTACTGAGCCACAGCTCCTCAAATATCATTCAGCTAAGATCCAACCGATAACAGCTACATGAGGATCGACCCTCGATATCACAATGCTCCAACGACTTATGCAACCTAGCCTGATTATTAGTTCACTAGTTACTAGCCAGTCCAAAGACCGGGTAAAGAGGGAAGGTTGGGCATAGGGCTAGCAACCCTACCCCGCAAAACTAATCTAACCGCTAAAGAAACTTCAAAGCACAAACAAAATATCAAAAATAACAACAAAATTATTCCTCGCTGGAATCGGAGAGGCGAAATGACGCCAGTTGGTGAAAGCCTACGGGAAGTCAATTAGCCGATGTGTCTTCTCTCCCTCGATGAAAGCGAAAGTAAACGTGGGGACATGGAATGTCCGCACGATGTTTGAACTCAGCAAGGCAGCCCAGATTGCAAACGAGATGAAGAGGTATCACATCGAAATGCTTGGAATTTGCGAAAGCAGATGGAATGGGAGTGGAATCTCCAAATTGGCAACTGGAGAATCAATAATCTACTCCGGTCACCCAGACGACAACCACGAGCACACTGAGGGAGTCGCTATCAAGATGTCCCCGAAAGCATCGACGGACCTCATACAGTGGGAACCGATCTCCTCATGCAGGATCATCACAGTAAGGTTCAACTCAAAAGGAAGGAAGGTCACAATCATACAATGCTACCTGACGCACCTACAAATAATTCAGAGCAAGAGAAAAAAGAGGAATTCTACAGACAACTTCAATCAACACTGAACAAGACCTCAGTTGGCAATATCAAAATTCTAATGGGCGACATGAATGCCAAACTGGGAGCAGACAACACCGGAAGAGAACTAACCATGGGTCGAGAAGCACTCGGTGAGGTGATGAACGAGAATGGAGAATTGTTTGCAGGATTCTGTGCATTCAACGATTTGGTGATTGGAGTCAGGCACTGTGTTCAAGCACAAGGATATCCACAAATCGGCATGGATTTCACTTCACCAGATGGACACACTAAAAATCAAATCGACTTTATCTCAATCTCAAGAAAGTGGAGATGCAGTCTACTTGACACAAGGTCAAGAAGAGGAGCAGATGTAAGTCTGAACAAGTTGGCAGAAGAGGCGAGGCAGCGAAGACAGGGCTTCAAGTGAACGTAGTGGAGACAGAGGTGATAATGATACCAAACCGATGCCACCGCCAACAACAACAACAAGCTCCAATCACCATCAATGGGAGAAACCTGAAGGAAGTAACCTCTTTCATCTATCTAGGCAGCACTGTTTCAACTACAGGCTGAGGCACAGACGAGGATGTCAAAGCCAGTCAGGATGGGAAAAGCAAGACAGGTGTTCATTAGCCTGAAACCAGTGTGGAGATCTTCTGCACTGCACTCAGCATAAAGCGTGAACAAAATCCGGATTTTCAACACCAATGCCAAGTCAGTGCTTCTATATAGTTCAGAGACTTGGCGCGTCACGAAAACCATTTCCAACAAACTACAGACATTCATCAACAACTGCCTACGCTGGCTCGTTACTGAAGATCAGATGGATTGCCAGAAATAATAAGCAACAAGGAACTCTGGCTATATGGCAACGAACCAACGAATCAAGAACCTATCACCCAACAAATATGCAGAAGGAAGTGGAGATGGATTGGAGTCAGCATACACTGAGAAGGTCGACTGGGGACATCACGCGTCAGGCCCTCGAGTGGAACCCAGATGGGAAACGACGAGTTGGGCGTCCGAGGCGAGGGTTGCATGGGGGAGGTCGTGCGAGCAGGAAATGAGAGCTTGTGGGCTGTCGTGGAGCCAGGTTCAAAAGATTTCAGAGAACAGAGTTCACTGGAGACGTGCTACTGAAGCCCTATGTTCCACTAGGAACCCAAGGGACAAATAAAAATAATAATAATATTTCTTGATGATCTGATTTTTGACTGTTACTTGTGGATGTAAATGAAGTACATCAAGAGAATTATTTTTCGGAAAAAAAGCTACCTGTGTCATTGCAGGCTTATGAAGAGATAATGACCGTTGTATCCATCACGAATCCGTATTTTCATCTTCAAGGCAGCCATCAAGACAAAATGGGAGATATCGAGCAACATCCCTGAAGAAACCTGTGTCGAAGAACACTGGAAGTCTTTGAAAGCTATATGGAAAGAAACCTGCATAACCGTATTAGGAAGGAAGAAGAAAGAATATAAGGAATGGATCTCAATGGACACATGGAAGCTGATAGAGGAGAGGAGGATGGTGAAGCAGAAGATAAACCAGTACAAGGATGCACAACGAAAGGAAGAACTGAGCAAAACGTTTAAAACACTGGATAAAGAAGTGAAGAAGAGTGCACAGAAAGACAAAAGACACTTCTACGAAACACTGGCAAGTGAAGCAGAACAGGCTGAAGGTAGGAGAGACCTGACAACATTGTATCAAATAACCAGGTCACTATCTGGGAAGAGATCAACACACGTGAAACCAATAAAAGATGACGGAAATTTAATTACCAAAGAAGAGAAACAAAGGAACTAATGGACCGATCACTTCAAAAAGCTCTTGAATCGACCACCACCTGCAGTCACGGAACTACAAGTGAACATAAATCCTCCAACAAAAGTGGAAGTCTTGAGCGCCATAAAGCTACTGAAATGCGGGAAAGCAGCACGACCAGATGGAATCCCGCCAGAAGCACTGAGAACAGACGCAGAGATACCAGCGGACATGCTCACACCACTATTGCAGAAGGTCTGGAAAGAAGGGAATGTACCTTGAGATTGGAAGAAGGGTTACCTTGTCAAACTCCCGAAGAAGGGTGACCTAAGTCTCTGCAAAAACTGGACCGGAATCATGCTCCTGTCCACACCAAGCAAAATATTAAGCCGCATCATCCTGGAGAGGCTAAAGGGTGCGCTAGATTCAAAACTACGACCGGAACAGGCTGGCTGGCTGGCGGTTGGCTTCAGGAAGTACAAATCATGTGCGGACCAATTTGTAACGTTACGCATCATCATAGAACAGAGTATAGAATGGCAGTCAACTCTCTACCTCAACTTCATTGACTTTGAGAAGGCCTTTGACAGCATCGACCGAGAGGTAATTTGGAAACTGCTTCAACACTACGGAATACCACAAACCTTTATCAGCCTCATTCAACAAGTATATGAAGACGCCACATGCCAAGTAATTCACAATGGAAAGCTCAGTGATGCTTTTGAAGTAAAGACAGGAGTGAAACAAGATTGCCTACTATCACTTATGATATTCCTGATTGTGGTCGACTGGATCATGCAGCAAACAGTGAGGAGCGTGAGAAGAGAGGGATACGCTGGACCGATGAGAAGACCCTAGAAGATTTGGATTTCGCCGGTGACTTATGTCTAATGTCACACAAACTTGAAGATCTACAGACGAAAACTAACAAGTTGACAGAAGAGGCGAGGCAGCGAAGACAGGGCTTCAAGTGAACGTAGTGGAGACAGAGGTGATAATGATACCAAACCAACAACAACAACAAGCTCCAATCACCATCAATGGGAGAAACCTGAAGGAAGTAACCTCTTTCATCTATCTAGGCAGCACTGTTTCAACTACAGGCTGAGGCACAGACGAGGATGTCAAAGCCAGTCAGGATGGGAAAAGCAAGACAGGTGTTCATTAGCCTGAAACCAGTGTGGAGATCTTCTGCACTCAGCATAAAGCGTGAACAAAATCCGGATTTTCAACACCAATTTTGCCAAGTCAGTGCTTCTATATAGTTCAGAGACTTGGCGCGTCACGAAAACCATTTCCAACAAACTACAGACATTCATCAACAACTGCCTACGCTGGCTCGTTACTGAAGATCAGATGGATTGCCAGAAATAATAAGCAACAAGGAACTCTGGCTATATGGCAACGAACCAACGAATCAAGAACCTATCACCCAACAAATATGCAGAAGGAAGTGGAGATGGATTGGAGTCAGCATACACTGAGAAGGTCGACTGGGGACATCACGCGTCAGGCCCTCGAGTGGAACCCAGATGGGAAACGACGAGTTGGGCGTCCGAGGCGAGGGTTGCATGGGGGAGATCGTGCGAGCAGGAAATGAGAGCTTGTGGGCTGTCGTGGAGCCAGGTTCAAAAGATTTCAGAGAATAGAGTTCACTGGAGATGTGCTACTGAAGCCCTATGTTGCATTAGGAAACCAAAGGACAAATAGTAATAAATATTGTATAATAAGAACGAGCTATAGTGTTGAACTGCTAGTTCGCTTACGGTCGTATAATACAAGAGAGGTCATTTGTACAGTGATACTATATAGAGCGCTTAACGCTATGGTGTTAATTAATAAGCAGTGATGAAGGTTCGAGGGCTAACTCGTACTCCTGACTTCACAAGGGTGTGCAATCAGTTACGTGTATCCAAAGATGACCAACACTACCATGCTAATGCTGACTTCCATATAGGAAGACGCGGTTAGAAAACGTCCACTCTAAAAATAACACACACATTTCACCCCACACCATACCGATCCAGACGATATGAGTCCACAGTCACAGTCAAAACTAGAAAACTTCTAAAAACGTTGAGTGTGACCAGCCTTAGGCAGATGTCTCATGGGCTCTGTGATCACACACTAACCTCTCCTTTTCGGGTACCACAAGAAGATATATCTTTCCATGGTGTGAGCAGCA